AGGTGTTCCGTGGGGGGACTGGTGAGGGTCCAGGGTGTGCCGGGAGGCCCGGGATGGGCTGGGTGTCTCGTTGGGGAGGCCCGGGAGGTTATGCAGAGCGCGGGACGCAGGGTGGTCCGTGGGGAGCGTCCCGGTGGGCGGCCGGGGTTCCAGCTGTCCCGAATGCGTCCCAGCCACGCTCAGGCTGTCTGTGCTGCTCTTTGGCCCTACAGGTTTCCAACCGATGGGTTCCTGCTTCTGGTCCTGCTGCTCTACGCACCCGTGGGGCTCTGCCTCCTCGTCCTGCGCCTCTTCATTGGTGTACACGTCTTTTTGGTCAGCTGCGCCCTGCCTGACAGCGTGCTGCGACGGTGTGTGAGCCTGGCTCTCCTCAGTGAATGGAACTCCTGCCGTTGCCCGGGGTGGGAGTGTGGCATGCAGGCACTGCTGTGGGGCAGTGTGGGGCGGGAGGGCTGCCCTCGCCCATCTGGGGTCCTTAGCCATGGACGCTTGGCTCATGCAAAGGTTTATGAGGGGCTGTGCTTTCAGGACTCTTTGTCCTCAGGACCCACGAAAGTGCCTTCTTTGCCAAGACCAAAGCTGGCAATTGCCTCTTGAGCGCTCGAGAACTGATCCGAAACACTTGGATCAGCTGGGTGTCCTGCTAAGAAATTCTGTGGCGGCTTGCTGCCATGTATTTCATGCTGCAGCTACAGCTCTGCAGGCAGCCTTCAGCCCCAACTGCAACCCCTGAACAATTCCTGTCCCAGATATCTGTCGTACCGTTTCCATTTTGTACCGGTGTCCTTTGTCAAGTCACATGAATTCCCGGGTCTCTGTTCTGTTTGTTTAATGTGTAAGCCAGCAATGGCTCAGACTGCAGGACTTGAGGAAACCGCTTCCCCCACCTCCCCCCCCCAGGTTTATTGTACGTGTGATGTGCTCAGTGCTGGGCTTATTTGTGCGGCAAAGTGATCCCCGGCTTCGTGATGTCAATGTGAGGGTGTATATCGCCAACCACGTGACACAATTTGATCACAACGTCATCAACCTTCTGACCTCATGTAATACGGTGAGTAATTTGGAGCCGAGCATGGCAGGTCTCAAGCATCTCTCTCCAGAAGTGCATGGAGAGCTTTTTCAGAATTTAGGTGTTGCCATCATCTTCTTCAGTTCTTATTTATTAACCGCGGATTGCACAAGCCTTGAGTTTTTTTCTGTGGTGTAGTGTCACGCTCTTAGGCTCTGCATGAAAAAATGAAACAGGATGAGGAGGAACAGGAAACGTTACAGTGGGTATTAGTTTTATTGAAAGAAAGTGGGCAAATCCTAGCATCTGTATCTTTTTCTGGCCTTTCAAATAGGTGGTGTAAGAAGCAGGCTGGGTTGTGGGGTTTTCCTGCAGCATTGAGTGCCACTTCTGTGTGTGTGTGGACAGCCGACCGTGCTGCAGAGGAGTACTGAGGGGAGCTGTGTGGTGGGGTTAATCTGCTGGACTGGTGGCTGTGTAACTTTCCCTGTACGTTTGTGAAATTCCTTGTGTGTGGAGTTCCTTCCTGAATCAACAGACTCCGAATGTGCCTGGGAGTGAGTTGGTTGGTCCTGGATCCTGAACAGCAGTAGATTTGCTCCTTATCTGGAGAAAAGTAACTCTTGGAAGTAGTGTGTCCTTTGCCAAGCGTGTGAGGAACTACGAGAGAGAATGTGGGGAAATGTGGTTGTCGCCCAGGGCGTGAGGGGGGGGGAGTTTGTTTCTGCAGTAGACAGGGTACAGTCTGAACTGAAGGTTAGGAATCAAATTCCTAGAGAATTGTGGCCAGAGCAGTCGCTGAAGCCTGGCAGTAACATGTTCTCTGCTACTAGTGCTTGTAGCCCGCAGATTGCTCCCTCAGCCCCCAGAGGCATTTTTTCTGATAAGTAGGAACGTTGTCTCGCACTGTCATCTGGGAAAGCAGGCCTTGAGGGGAGGACAGGGCAGCATTTCTTCCTTACTCTTGTTTTCCCTTGCAGCCTGCATTGAACGGTGCCCCTGGTTTCATCTGCTGGTCACGGGGATTCATGGAGCTGGGAGTAACAGGAAGCCGAGCAGAGCTGGTGGATTCCCTGAAGGTGTATTCATCCCACAGAGGAAACCCCCCACTGCTCCTCTTCCCAGAGGAGGCTGCCACCAACGGCCGGGCCGGCTTGCTCCGCTTCAGGTACTAGGAGTGGGTATTCCTGCGGCGGGGCTGTTGTTATTTTGTTTTAGCTTTGGGGTCATTCACTGCTGAATTCTTCCTTTTCAGCTCTTGGCCGTTCTCAATCTTGGATGTGGTACAGCCAGTTGCCCTACAAGTTCAGAGGCCTTTGATCACTGTGGTGAGTCAGGGACGTAGGACAAGGAGGAGTTCTGGAGGCGTGCGCTGTGCGAGGGTCTTGGCGACGCCGTTAATTCTGCTTCTGCTTTGAAGCCTGTGGGTAGTGCAGCCTGGCCTTGTGTCCTGTCACCCCAAGGACTAGCTTCTCAGTGCTAACGCTGTTTTTCAGGTGCCTTTCCCAGGGAACTTCCGCTAAGTCAATGCTCTTTTAGTTATTTTGATAAACGTTTCGGTGGCTCAGCTGTCTGACAATGTGCCGTCTGGTGTCCATGACCATAGCATCACTGTGTCTCATCTCCTCTTTGTGAGCTCCCTTCTTTTAAAGTGCTTGACAGAATAGTTCCAGTCACCTTGGACAGTGGCTGGTGTGCCAAAGGTTAGGCAAGGCTCTCTGGAGGAGGTTCGTGAACTCCTGCCTCCCAAATGCAGATATGTAACGTGATGCAACATTACCTTCAGAAAAGTGGCAGAGTTCTTGGTGATAATACTAGCGCTGCTAAATAGATTGCAATAAAATTCTTCTCAGCTTATTTACAAAGTGAGATTTCTTTGAATTTCTTATTTCTTGGTATGATTTACGGATCTACTTCATTAAAAGACACCTTCACTTTATATTTGTCTGACAGTTTAGGTGATTCTCTATTGTCCATCTTTTTAAGGTAGTAGGACACAGCGGATAGATTTAAAGCCACTTACCAGCAGGTCACACAACATGTCTGCCCATACCAAACCATCAGCATGCAGGTATTTTTAAAGTAGGGTTCTATTAGGGATTCGTTCTTTGCCCAGTGCTATTGAGTGCTTTTATTGATGCTGCAGATGACAATATTGAGATCCCTGCTGGTAAAGTTCGGGTTAGTGAATAAGGAAGCAGCTAGATTATTGATTGTGATCCAGTGAACGGCTGTTACTTGTAAGACTGATGTGATCTGGGGGTTCATAACGAGGAATATCTGGCAGGGTGAGGAACACAGTGTTAGCTGGATGCGTGCAATGATGAAAACTGCTAAAATATTATGGGAAGCTTTGGTAACCCCGCTCCCAAGAAAGTGGGGCCGTAGTAGAGAGAGTACAAGGAGGCCATAAGCAGGATGCAAAATCCAGAGAGCCGCACTTAAAGGCACTCAGCTTAATCAGCTTATCAGAAAAGAGGCGCAGAGATTGTTGTGGATAGCTGCTTGCATGTTGGAGGAGAGGCTTAAGAGTGGAGAACTCTTTCTTTTTTTTTTTTTCTTTTTTCTGACAAAGCACACAGCAGCAGTCTTTGCAGATGCTGAGACGAAATGTTGGTACTGCATAAGTTCAGTTTTGGCTTAAGATGCAGTTTTCTAACAGAGAAGATACTTTAAATTTCTGAATGATTACTCCAGAGAAGTGGGAGAGCTGTCTCACTCTGGACTGTTTATAATGACTATCTTATCTTTTCATGGTTTTGTCTCCTCCGAGAAATTCTGTGAGATGTGACAAGTTGCATATTTGTCTGTGCATCCTTTCCTTCATGAATATTAGGGAGAACAGCACGCACATAACTGCAGATCTGTTTGAAGGTACTGGTTATAGTCGCTTCTTGGCTCAGATTTTTACCTTCAGAGGTCGAGCAGGACTTTTTGCCCTTCCTGCACGTTGGCTAAGTAAATCCTGATGGGTTTCTTACATAATTTTAAACCATCAGAAATTTCCAAGGACTGGAGATGAGATACTTTGAATGGTTCGATCAGTGCTTCACAGAAAGCTTTCTTGGACATTTATGTGATATATATGAAACACATCAGACACTAGGCTGAGCAAACCACCAAATTTGAGTTTAAGAAATAATTTTCTCCAGGTCCAGTTGGCTGGAACCTTGAAGGAGGGCTTTGTTCTGTGGCACAAGGCAGTGTAACTGAAGTCTGGCTATTGACATCACTGTAAGGCATTTGATTTTAGGTTTCTTAGATCTGTTCATCCAGGAGATGAGGCTTCTTTATGTTACCCTTGGTGGCTGTGGTTTCTGGGCTTTTCTCGTTTATAGCACCTCTTTCTGGGCCATGGACTAAACCAGGCATGAGGCCTGTCTCAGAGCCACACTGCTTTGGTCGAGGATGAAGGCAGGAGTGAAAGAAGCTGAGGCAGCTGCCTTGCGAGCTGTAGATCTTCAGACGATGTTCTCACCAGCTTGTGGAAAGTTTGATCGCTGCAGGATAAAAGCAACCAACTACAGAAATCCTAGGAACAATGTCCATTCAGTAGCAAATTCTGTGGAATCACTGAAAAGCGTAGGTTGGGGACAATCTCTGGAGGCAACCTTCAGTTCAGTTTTCTGCTCACAGTCAGACTGGCTTCTGAGTATGGTCTGGCTCCTCGGGGCTGAGTCTCACTGAGAAGGATGGAGAGCCCACCACTTTGCAGTGCCTGTTCCAGTGCTCTCTGCTGGCAGGCATTGCAGTACTTCTTAGGGAAAAGGTTATTTACTAATTTTTAGAAAAAGGAAGAAAGTAATTTATTACTCAAAGCTCACCTTTAATGATTTATCTTCAAAGAGAAGAGTTGTTTAAGACTTCCCAATGCAGCCTGTTTGGAAATGAAGAGATAAAGCTTACAGGAGTTGAGACATTACAGGGGCTGTTCCCATCAGAATAAGGGAGGAGGAGTGTTCACAATTCTAAGGAAGCATTGTAGTAGGCCGGAAGGCGTTTTCTGTCCTTTCTAAAGGCCCCGTCTGGTAGAGAATGTGAAGAAATCGAGGGAAAATCTTGCTGTCCTAGTGGGAGGAAGAGATGACTTGGAGCAGTGAAAACTTTGACTCTCTTGCTCTGCCTGATGAAGACTAATGAAGGTGAATCTGCCCTGGGGCTTGCCCTCACTGTGCACTGGGTTTGCCGTTCCCTCTTTCCCGGTCCTCCACATCTCTCTGCCCACGTATCTGTTAGTCGCTGCCATGGCTTAGCTGTGTTCCGCCCGCCTGCTTCCCTGACGGAGACCTGACTAGCTCGTGTTTTGTGGGCCGTGATCTCATTGTGCTCTCTTCCCCAGAGTGTGGCTGACTCCTCCTGGGTGACAGAGCTGCTCTGGACCTTCTTTGTTCCCTTCACCGTATATGAAGTAAGGTACTATCTCTTTCTCTCTCTTTCATTTGGGGAAGGGTTTAGGGTGGGCAGAGAGCCTGACGTTTTTGCCGTTGTAGTAAGAGATCTTTTGGTATGCACTAATGTGCACCCTCACTGTGGTGTCTCAGCATGGCTTTGTTCAGCATTATTTGGTCCATGCCAGGTCCAGCTTCTGGACCAGCTTCTGAGGTGGAGAGGGCTCTTGGTTCCTGCGTTGAGTTGGTGAAGGAGAGGAGTCTCTCAGGGCTTTTAAGTCAAGTTTGCTGGATACTTTTTTGAAGCTAGCTGCTGTGCTGTAATTCACCCCAGGGTTGCTCAGGTCCCATGGGTGATTCCCTGCGAGCACCTCAGTCCTCTGGCATCTGTCTCTTCCCTGCAATCCCTTGTGAATTGCAGAGGTGGTTCAGACACCTGTCTGGGGCCCAGGTGAGCCCAGCCTGGCTGAGTAGCTTTGGTGTAATAAGGGTTCAGGGGCAGCGGAAAGGGCTTGGAGTCAGATTTACAGGTCAGGGTATTTCAGCAAAGAAAAGTTTTGTCCTGTAGAGCTTTCCCTGGCCATATCTGGCTCGAGTCTTGCTGATCTGTTTTCTACTTTCATGTAAATGGCCATGGCTCCTCATTTGGGGCCTTTCTGGGAGCTTCATTAGGAGATACTTCACATGCTACGCTTGAGTGCTAATAAAGATTCAATGAGCAAGTTTTGTCTTCTGAGCCGTGCCTTGCCCTTAATTTTGCAAGCTAGTGTTGAGGTTTGACGCTCATCTTGTGGGGAGAGATTTGGGGCGAGCAGGGAGAGCTGAGGTGGGGATAGCACGGTTGCACTATTGACCCCAGGTGGGGCTGGCTCCTCCAGCAGCCCTTGAAGCAGTCAGCCCAGTGCTGTTGTCCCCATTCAGGTGGATGCCGTCTGTCCCCAGACGAGCTGAAGAACTGAGTGAGGATTTTGCGCTCCGAGTTCAGGAGGTAGGAGGATGATGTGGGAGAGGGATGTGTAGGACTGCTGCAATTTGGGATGGTCACAGAGGAGAGTGGGGTGCAAGCAGAGTTGCAAAGGGCATTTCTGGATGGGTTTATTTGTGTGATGGGGACTCTGGCCCGTGTTTAGTGCCCCTTACAATTACTCAGTTTTTCCATGGCCTATTTGCTACGCCCCGTTTATCCTTTCTGCCGGTTATCAAGGCTCTCCCCATCTAGCTCAAACCTTTCACTCCCTTTTCATAATACCACAAACCAAATAAAGCAATTGTTTCTCCAGCTTTCCGTTATGTGCTGGGTACTTCATAGCTCCGGTACCAAAGATCTCGTATCTCCCTGTCAGCCTGTTTTGGCAGGATGATATTGCCTACTCCTGGTCCTTCATGTGCTCCATGCAACACTGAAATGCATCACTGAGGCCCTGGAGAAATCAGTTCCCAGTCCTCTTCCCCTCGCCGTGGCTCCACGCAGGCCTGTACATCTCATATACTCCCCGGCAAGATGGGAATGCCTGGGTCGTACGTGTTGTGTGTGATGTACATGTGACTCTTCTCTACATTTCTGCAGCTCTTGGCCATGGAGCTGGGTGTGGTATCCACACGGCTCACTGCAGCAGATAAAACCGAACACATGAAGAGGCTGAGACACACATCGCTTCTCCCCTTTTCCCCAGGTAGGTGTCCTGGGTAGCATCCTGACCACGGATCTGCCTTTGAGGTAGGCTTTGCCTTTGGGGAGACCTCCGTCTGCTCTTGGTTACTCACGCATGGAGGGAGAGGAGAAGGTGTGTCCAACATCCTCCTGGGGAGCAGGGGCTGCCGCTGTGCTCTAGGCTGGGGGCTGTAGCTAGCTGGCAGGGAGCGGACCACCACTCCTGAGCACAGACGTGATGGTCATGTGCAGGAAGCTCGGCTTTCTTATCACACCGGTTCGTACTAGAGAAAGCGGAGCTGTTGCAACTCAAAGGCCATGCGCCTTCAGGCCACCCTCTTGTGCCCGCTGTTCTTTCTCTTGGCAGCCTCAAGCCAGCCCCTGGCAGCCAGACCCAGGGTGCCTCCCAGCCCGACTGGTGTTGCCCCTGAGGATGTGCAGATCACGGCAATGGCTCAGCGGGTCAAGGAGGTGCTGCCTCACGTGCCTCTGGAGGTCATCAGGATAGACTTGGGTAAGCGATGCCGGAGGTATTAGCAGGGTCACCTTCCATGCCAAGCCTCTGTCATACCTGAAAGCAGAAACCTTGTCCCCGCTGTGCTGTCGAGCACAATGGCAGCAAGGTTGTGAGTGTCCTGATGTAGCAGCTCCCTCTCTAACAGGTCCTCTTTGTCCCTGCAGCCCAAACCAGCTGTGTGGATACCACCATTGCCAACTTGCTGGAGGGAAGAGTGCCCTTCCTCCCTGAAAGTAAGGAGGCTGGTACTGACCTGCCCGCCCCGTCTACCTCCCAGGCTGCAGCTGCTTCTGGCATCCAGGGCTCCGTAGCTGTGCCTTCTTCCAAGGTACTTGTGGTGGTTGTGTCGTCTCCTCTGGTCTGATGGCTCACAGCCCGAGCATGGTGGCCTGTGTTCAGGACTCGCCAGGATGTCAGGGGAACGGAGCATTTTTAAACTGGAGACCGAGTTGGCATGCCGGGTCCTTGCAGAGCCACCGAGGTTTCCTGGCTTTGTTTGACTGTCTCCTGAGGGCTCTTGTGCTTTCTTTTCCAGCCAGCTACAAAGCAATTTGCGAAATCCCCTGTGGAGCGGCATCTGTCCTTGCAGGAGCGGAAACGAGCGTTGTACGACTACGCCAGGAGGTGAGAGTCCACCCACCCCTCACCCTGTCGGAGCCCCAAAACCCCGTCCCCAGCAGTACCCGGATATGCCCTAAGCAAGGGTCAGCCCTTGCTTTGCCTCCTGTCCTCCCGTTCCTCTCCTCTGGCCCAAGGTGGTGGGGCTGAGGCAGCGAACTGTGGCTGAAGGAGAGAACAGGCAGATGTTTGTCTGCTTCGCCTCTTCCAAGCCCGCAGCCCCTTGTCATTCCTGGGAAGCACTCGGTCTCCTGCGTTGCTGCCAGGCTTCTGGTTTTGGAGCCTAGGTGGGATAGAAGCTGTTTGCCAGAAACACAGCTGCTAAGGAATAGGGCTTAGCAAAACAAACTCATTTGGCTCTTTGGTGTAACGGGTTTGTCGAAGTCCTTGTGGGACTATAGATTTCTTTGAAATTCATATTGATACTATGGAACACTCATTTTAGAAAGAAGTTTGCTGTTTGGCAACAGGGACGGTGCAATTAATCTTCCTCAGTGCAAGTGGAGAATTACAGAGAACAGGAAGCGAGTTTGACCTCTGTGCGTGGTTTTGATGAGGCAAATATTGGAACAAGGGTCCAGTTCTGGTGTCTGGGCCTTTTTTTTAGAAAAGATGCAGAGGATTCAAAATGAGTTTGGAGGGGAAGTTAAGTCTGTTAAACTTACTGTAAATGAGATTGCACACTATATATAATTCCAGGTGGAGGAACCAGGTTCTGAAAGGCTCCTTAATCGGGCAGAGAAAAGCAGAATAGTAACTAATGGTTAGAACTTGTAGGCAGGCAGCCTTTACACAGGTAATGGGATAGTTGTTTCTGAAAAGGAAATGGATTGATCAGTGGAATAAGGTTCCAGCAGAAATGATGGCTTCTTGGTGCCTGGGTGTTTCCCGGTGAGCCTGGCTGACTCCTTAGAAGATGCTGTAGCAGATAGTAGAGATACTGGAGCATCTGGCTCAGTCCGGAGGGTCAAGAGGCCTGCTTGCTGCAAGGTCCGGTCTCCGCTCTGCGGGGTCTTGCTGTGAAGGAGAGAACTCGTCTGGTGTCACACCCAGGCGTCGCACTGAGCTTTGCTCCGGAGCGTGCCGGGAGAGTCAGGAGGAGACCACAGAGGCTCAGGGATCAGTTAAAACCTTGAGATCCTGGGGCGCTTTGACACCACATCAGCTTCTCCCTACTACTGAAAGTAGGAAATTCCCATGGTTGGAGGTTGAAGGTAGGCAAATTCTAAGAGCCCATTTCTAAAGGGCTAGCCCTAGGTGACTCTGGGTAGTGCTTAGTCACCAAGAATTTAATTTAATTTAAACAGGTCTGTGTTTCTGAAAGATCATTTCAGTTTAGAGAAACTGCATCTTAGAGTAGTCCTGTGGCAGAGAATGTTAGACTCTGTCTTCAGAGCTGTCCCCAGACCTTCTAGCATGAGCACAGAGATGGCTGGGGGCTCTTGCCGGATCCATTGGGCATGATCTGTTCAAGAGCAAAGAAAAGAGCGTGGAAATCTTTACCTGCGGGTACCCCGCCTGACTTTGTTGCCCTTCTGTGTGCTGATCTTTTACGTCCCTTTTCTGAGGCTCTTCTGACTTCTGGCTATAGTGAGTGATCTCTATACGTCTCTGAGAGGAAGGGATCCCAACGGGATTTGGAAAGGTGATTGCTCCTCACCTTTCTTTACTCCAAAGAAGGAGTCCTAGACTCGAGAGCAGGTACATGTCCCTCTCAAGTTCTGAGTGACAGCAGCAACCCCTGTCACTCAGGCATTTGAAGCTCAGAAGAGGTTCGCAGCTCAAGGCTTGCTGCACGTTTTATTTTTATAGAGCCCTCTGCCCAGGCTGTTGAAAGCACTGGCCATTCACAGCGAGACGTGGCTGTTCTCGGGGGAGGATTTTGCTTTGTCAGCATTGCTCGTTCCCCAGCTAGCCGGTGTTTAATGGCAGCTCAAGCTGGGCATCTGTCGTTTCAGGGTGGCGGTTGCAGGAATCTGGTGGTCTTGCAGTGTCACCTCTCCGTTCTCCCAGGCGGAGCCTGGGTCTGGCACCTTTTCCTGTCCCTGGGGCCTGGGGTGTTGTGCATCTCATCCAAACCAAGGTGTAGGGCTTAGCTTTCACAGTCCCAGGCTCGGGGACAGTGACAGTTTCTTACCAGCAGCCCACGGTGCTTCCCATGTGCTTCTTAGCTTCCCCAGGTGGAATGTGTTGGACGGGGGCCGGTAGCCTGGGTTTGTGGA